AATGATGAGGGCAATGAATGTACAAATGTGCTTTACACAATCGATGTATGGATAGTGATAAGAGTTGTATGAGCCCCTAATAAAACGATTAAAAAAGTGTGCAATAAAAATAAAGCATTGACATTAAAAAAAACAAACAAGTATAGGAGAAAATATTCTGAACTTGTGGTGATAACTGCACAACGATTCTGAATATTATGGAACAATTAAATTGTATGATATGAAGTATATGCCAATAAAGCTGTTAAAAATATAATAAGCTTAATACATTTTTAAAAGAGACATAAAATCAGTATTCACAGACTCACCGTAATAGGAGTTCTTTGGGAAGTTTTTTATTGATTACAGCTTCATCGCTATTTGAGAACATCTGCAAAAACAAAATCATTGTTACAGTGTATCAAATGTTATCTAACATTTCTTTATTATGTTTTACTCAACAGTTCACAGGCAATCCTCTCAGGAGAGTATATAAGTAGTGCTGTAAGTCACTAGTCATATTCTCAGGGACTCTTTAGGATGAAAAATGTTTTGGGTGGCAATTAATTCATTCTGTCTTCAGAGAAAAAGAACAGCAATCAGAAGGATGACTTTACCGGTCAAGTAGTGCTTTTCATATATTAATGTTTTTAATCTTCATAAAAGTCCTATTATTTCTATTCTCTAGGTAAGGAAGCTGAACTACAAGAACTACAAATGAGTGAGTTTCAAAAAGCTTTACTTGTGGACTAACAATGAGAGTAGAGATACCAGGAGGCTAAGGGGAAGGTGGGGGGAGAAAGGGGTAACTGATCACAAGGATCAAACTAGAACTCCCTCCCAGGGGGACAAATAACTGAAAAACAGGGGAGGGGCGATGGAGGACGATGTAAGATATGGAAAAAATAATCTATAACTTATCAAGGGTTCGTGAGGGAGGGCGTGTGGGGGAGGGAGGGGGAAGAAATGGGGAGCAGATATCAGGGGCTCACGCCGGAAGAGAATGCTTTGAAAATGATGATGG